TGAAGGTTACAGTTTTGATTCTGAAGATAGCTTTTATATAAGGAAACATCTGTTAGCTGAGTTCTTGCACAGATCTTAAAATATAACGTTGATAAATGGAAACATCGGCTCACGTAGATATGTAGATCTAGAAAGTCGAGTTGTTCAAAACTTGAAAATAGCATTGATAACTGGACCAATTGTTTTGATTTCTTTTTATTACTTTATGCAAATCAAATGTTGATAAAAATATATATATATCAAAACAAAATTCTCAATCTCAACACTTCAGTTATAGTTTTATTTCACAAGTGATTTGAGGAGAAATATCACACAGATTTTTTTTAAAACTTGATGATGTCATTTACCCAAGCAGAAAAGTGTGTAAAAACATTTGTTAGCTTTATTTTTAATCCTTTGGACAAGGACTTGTGTACTAATACAACCTTGTACAAAGGTGTACAAACTATAACTCTGAAAGGGCATAATTTATCTTTTGTTCTCAAAAAATCAGATTTTTCAATAATGTATTTTTACTAAAGATTTGTCCATTTTCAAATTATATTTGAATAACCTCTAAAACTTCCAAAATGAATATCAAATGTTTTTTCTGCAAAACCTTATATTTTATCTGTTATTTTCTATATTGTAACTTATATACAAACTTAATGAATTTGATCAACCTTGCCACCTTTACAAAACAATACAAAATAAATCTAAATTATTGTTTTTTGTTCTAAAACGTATACATATTGTAACAGACAATTACACAATATTTAATTTTACATCATAAGCTAATAGATTTCATTTAGTTATTTTTCATTTACAGTTGAACTCTGACCCTTTCAGACTATAGTGATAGATATATATTATGCCAGAAATCTTTGTGCGAATTATAAATCAGCACACTCATGACAAATTAAATAAATGCACTTGACCTTGGTGCATGCTATCATGGTCACAAGTATTTTGTTTATGTCACTTAAAGTTGTTTATAAGTTTTAGTTAATTACAAAAAATAAAAATAAGAAATTTTGTAATTACTTCTGAAATATTTTCTTCTTCAAGATTTTGCACTCGTACAATCCCAGTTGACATCAAAATTTAACCCCAACACAATGTAATGACAATGTTGTCTCAGAAATTATTATTTTTAATTCAATTATCCAACTTAAATACAAAATATTTCGATGCATACAAAATAAAATGTTCTAAAATGTATATAATTTATCTGGCTTTCTAACTAAGAGAGAAATGGCTTCAAATAATTCTCATAACTAGCCAAGCAGAACACCAATAACAGGATACAAAGAAAATGACACCTACATGTTAAAATTTTCTTAAGCTCTCTAGCTGTCAGTTAAGTGAAATTCTCGATTTCTGATGGTTACAAATAATACAACAGCAAATGTCAGGGAGCGTTTATGACAATTTTTGAAAGCAGGATGGATGGCATGTAGTGTTTACTTTATTGTTTATATCTTTATAAAGGAAAAAAAAAGCTTTCTCAGAAAATTTAAGACGAAATAGGATAAGATAAAAATGTAGAAATTGGCAATTTGGACTGAAGAAGTGTCATGCAGTGCAGAAAGTGAAGCTTGGTAATTTATGTATGTATATCCTTATAAAATCAAGAAATAAAAAGTTATATAATATTATAATGTGAACAATAAATTATTTTTTAATGCCTAGTTTGATAATATACATTTATATAAAAAAAGTATTTACATTTTGAATGTAAATCTGTAAAAGGTTATGACATATGCACTTTGACCTACCCATAGCAATAGTGTTAACATTAATATTCCTTTATTTACCTAGGTCTTTGGCCTCGTCCTCTCTCACAGCGCTTAGAAACAAACTTCATCCACTGAAGAGCAAAACTAATAAGTCCTTTTCCCAGCTTGGTTTTAGCATCTCCAGTGATTAACCTTGTCACTGCACGTTGGTACTGTTACAAAAACAAAAAATTGAATATTACTTCTACACTAGATGAACAAAACATTGCTTTCTTGACAATTCATATTCTTTAAATATCTAAATTTTGATATGTTCTTCAAAATTCTAATAATTGCTTAAATGTATTCATTTAAGTATATGGCAACTATAAACAAAACACCATGTATAAAATGACTGCACTTTACAAACTACTTGTTCTAGGAGAGGAAAAGTTCACTAGAAGCATAATGAAAGTTATGTTTCGTTCAGGAAAGTTTGGCTATGGTACAGAAAGTTTCAAAACCACATTATGCTTTTTTTTCTTAATTGCTTTTCTCACAAACTAGCATTGTGATTTAAATCTCTTCATTCCATATGGAGTTCAAGTAATTCATCAGTTGGAAACAATTGCAAAAGATATTTCTCATTCTCGCCATCTATTTTTACCTGTACAAACAGTAACAGAGGTTGCTCAGAATATCCAAGATCAAGCATTTTATGAGGTGGCAAGTGGAAGAGGGGCTGCTTATGAAGTTGATCTGATATAAACTGTAGTGTGAAAAATAATAGATAAAACTAAAAACACAAAAACTATAAGGTTATCACTTTAGACAAATTTATGCCATGAAAGATGGTAATCCACCTTTGTGACTTGATTTTGCAGATTGGGTTTTGGCCAGACTGATGATCGATGAAATGTGGCCATAAAATATCCTTTGAACAAATGAAACACAACTTCATTTTACTGGATAAGTAAAACTGAAAAATAATGTCATCTGCACCCAGAATAACCCAGATGTAGTTCACTAGATACATACACATGATCTTTACGATAATGTCTGGTGAAGTTTCACTAGTACTTTTGACATTAGTCTTTATTTCTTTAAGTCTGATGAGACTGGACAAATTGTTTCAATAAATGAGGTTTACTATGAGAAAATGTTGTAAGGTTATTCCATGCTTGTATGTGGAAAGTATTAAGAATATCACCTTCCATAAAACCCCTTATATATCTATCATCTCATAAAATGGAAGTCAACTCTAACTAAAGGTGTTTTGCAAATGGTATTAAATATCATATGTAATATACCATATATATTATAGAACTGAAATTTTATCAAATTTTAATATTTCGTTTTACAAAACATGTTTTTTTGAAAATCATAACTTTTGGAATACAATGATTTATTGGCAAATAAACTGACATTTATGTAAAATTATTATATAAGAATCATAGATCTGATAATTGTCTATCATTATAGACAGATAATAGTCAATAATCCTTATAAATTAAATTAAAATCATGGAAGTAGTAATACCTATCATATTATGAACTATTAATATTGTAAACGTAATTTTACAAATTGTCACTAGATGGCAGATATTACATAATCATCTTGTTATCTTAATTATTAAAGTTGTTAGTTTTATAACTCACTAGATGACATGGACACAAACCATATCAATAACTGAAAATATCTGTTTCACGAGACTTCATATTTGTTGAACTGATATATAAAGAATAAGTTTTTTCTTAAAAAGTTTCTCTATTTTTCAAGGTATTAAATATAGAGGAACTTAGTTTCATTGCTACTATATTTTTCTCAGGTATCGTGACCAATGATAAAAAATGAAGTCATTATAAAACAATCAATATTGCAGCTGTGGTAAAAATCATGTTTCTTAGTGAATCTAAAATAACAGTATCAATAAACACACAGCTAATTTGTTGTATGTATATAAGCTTATCTTGTCATTGTGTTTCAATGTTTTACTCGGTTAAACTACAATAAGATGTTAAAAAAAATTGGAATTTATTGTGAATGTTACTTGTCTGTTAGTATCGATGATTATAATAGGCCATACTACTCAAAAGAAATTATTTAACCCTTTCAAGATGGGTCACGGGCGAAAGGCCATATCATTTCCTTTGTTGACTCACATTCAAAATTTT